CCGAGCAGGGAGCCCAATGTGGGGCTCGATCCCAGGACTCTGGGATCATGACCTGAGCTGAAAGCAGACGCTTAACAACTGAGCCACCCAGGTGCCCCAAAAATGAAAAATTTTTTAAAAGCAAGCAGGGCTACAATTCTGTCGACAGTATATCCCCAGGGCCTAGAACAATGCCTGGCATGCAGCACAGACTCAATAAATATTTGTTAAGTGAATGTACAAATAAATGTGAGATGTCAATGGCCAACAAAAAATAAAATTCTATATAAAGTTCTTTCCATAAGATATTTGTACTTTTTTTTTTAAGATACTTGTACTTTTGATAATGGAAAGAAACGATCAGGGTGAGCTTTAGTTAGGTTCAGAGGGAACAATTTCCCAGACAAGTGAAGAGAACTTACGTTATGGTAACTTGAGCTTCAGCCAGGCAAGGAAGGTTCTTATCTACCATAATTAAAATATGTCAACTTTAACGAAGAGCCAACATTTCTTCCGAAGTACTTTACCTAGTACAGTGCCTATATATACAGAACGTGCAATAAAAATTGGTGGTAATTCCAACTCTGTAAACTGTGTGTAGGTGCATATGAAATTTAATAGTCAATTTGTGAAGGTCAAAGACAATTTATAACAGTGAACTTGGTAAAGGGCTGAGCAGAACAATCCAGGTGTGCCTTCCAAACTCTTTTCCAAATTCAGACTGACATGATTTCTGTATCTAATGAAAGACACCATATGTTTTGCGGGCTTCAATACATTTTCTCTACTACTGAATTATAGGTATAGTTCAGCTCAGTAACTAGTATCAAGCCACTTACTATGTACCTAATAGAATAAAAAGTTTGTCACTACAATGGGACACTCAAAAAACCTTTGTGTGCCAAATGGCCAGAAATTGCTGTATGGGAGATGTGGGACCACAATGAGGCAGATTTTAGCAGAAGGTAACTGTAGTATTCAAACAAGAAATGAAAAATACACATCTTTTAGGAAGAGCTATTTTTGCATGGTTCAATCCACCACCTAAAATGTTCCTAAATCCAGTGAGAAAATACCACAGGGATAGCAGTATCTACCCCAAAAGCCACTGATCTTTGCCAACACAAGAGACTCTTATTCTAATACAGACAATAGAACTTATTCAAACAGGCAAGTCTCCCAGATACTATCCAGGAAAACGGAACTGACCTCTGAGCCTCCCGGTCATCTTTAGGGTTGTAATTAGACAGGCAGTCCAAGATGAAAATCTGGCCCCATTCAGTGCACTCATTCAGGGCTGTCAGCAGCTTATTAATGTTCTGTGGGTTCAGATCAAGTAGGTTGCTGTTTGGGTGAGATTCACTGATTTCAGATAATGCTGCTACAGCATTAGCCACCACCTGGGAAAGAAACAGACATGACCTTGATTTACCAAGAACAGTACAATTATAAACAAATACTTAATCTTCTCTGGATCACTTCATAGATCTCAACTCATAACCATTCCTGAACATTTTACCTAGTCAGCTAGAAACATAAACTGCTTTCAAAACATGTATTAAACCACCAACGATGGCCTATATAGCTTCCTGGTGGTGAGGAATCCAGAATTAAAACAATTCGTTTATTAGCAGATAGTCACACATACTTTACCATTAAAACAATAATTTTAATAGTATTCAACCCTATCATTAGAATCAAGACATATGAACAGTTTTAAGATCAATGAAGTTTAAACATGTACATTAGCCTGGCAAAGGACCGAAAGTTTTAGAGCTGTATGGGTATGTATGGGGGCGGGGGTGCTGATACTGTCAATCATGTCATGAGTCTCAGAGTAAGAAAATGTGAGCTTGAAACCTTAGTTCACTACTGAATGACATGCTGGGAGATGTTCCTCATCTGAAAACTAGGAATAATTTAATCCACCTCATAAAATAGTTTTAGTTTAAGGATCAAATCAGATGACACATGTATAAGTGCTTTCTATAAAGCTTCAGGCAAATTTTAGGTGGTACTATTACCATAAGTCATCAAGAGTTGCACAATTTTAGGTGGTACTATTACCATAACTCATCAAGAGTTGCACTAAGTTGCATTTTCACATTAACATCTCTGAAACTGAGATGCATTTTATAATCAAAGGCATGTCAGTTGAGGGTGCCTGGATGGCTCAGTCAGTTAAGCATCCGACTCTTGGTTTTGCCTCAGGTGGTGATCTCAGGGTCATGAGATTGAGTCCGTGTGGCGCTCCACACTCAGCGGGGAGTCTGCTTAAGACTCTCTTTCCCTCTCCCTCTGCCCCTCCCCCGCCGGATACTCACATGAGCACTCTCTCAAAAAATCAATCTTAAAAAAAAAAAAGTATGTCAGTTTAATAGGAAGCACGTTTCTTTCCAAGTAATACAGAAAATAATAATGCATCTTATAATCAATGCCATCTCAGAATCAATGAAATACGGACCTCAAATACGATCTTTCAGGCAGTATGATATATGAAAAATTGCTACCGAATATAAGAAAGTACACTTGTGGGTGCCTGGGTGGCTCAGTCAGTTAAGCAACTGATTCTTGATTTCAGCTCAGGGCATGATCTCAAGGTTGTGAGATCAAGCCATGTGTCGGGCTCCACACCAAGCATGGAGACTGCTTAAGATTCTCTCTCCCCCTCTACCACCCCTACCCCCACTCACATGAGTGCAACTCCCTCCAAAAAAAAAAAAAAAAGAAAGAAAGAAAAGGAAAAAAAAGTACAACTGCATCCTGACTTACAGATCTGGGAATCCACATTAGTTACAAGAAAAAAAGTAAAATTTTTGAAATTTTTGAAATTTATGAAAATTATAGAGTATTTCTGATGTAACTAATACATTTACAGTCAATGACGTTTAAAGTAATTTAAAAATTGCAAAATAAAACACACACACGTACAAAGAAAACTATCCTATGGCCCCATACAAGTGAATTTAAAGCCACATTTTTTTAACGTAATCTCTATGCCCAATGTGGGGCTCGAACTCAACCCCAAGATCAAGAATCACATGCTCTAGGGCACCTGGGTGGCTCAGTTGGTTAAGCGACTGCCTTCGGCTCAGGTCATGATCCTGGAGTCCCGGGATCGAGTTCCCCATCGGGCTCCCTGCTCAGCGGAGGGTCTGCTTCTCCCTCTGATCCTCTTCCCTCTCGTGCTCTCTGTCTCTCATTCTCTCAAATAAATAAATAAAATCTTTAAAAAAAAAAATCGCATGCTCTACCGACTGAGCCAGCCAGGCACCTGAAAACCACATTTTGCAGTGAAGCTCCCAGACATTACTAAAGACCAGCAAGGTAAGGCTAAATATAAATATTCTCTAAGTATCAATGAGATGTGATAAGAGATAGCAGCTTCAGTAATTACACATATTAAAATGTTCTCAAAAACGTCCACTCATTTCTTAGTTCTTACTAAAGTGCCTTGTTAAAAGCTTGAGAAACTAAGAGTTGCATAATTATCCTTTTGCCAACAAGTGAAGAAACATAATAGCCACAATTCAGCTACTGATTTTAGTAGCCACCTTATCTGAGTAGTCTGCAGATTATCCCAGAAGATAAATGTCTAGAGAATATGATCTTTTTAATCAAATTAAACAATATTAAATAATTAAACAATATTATTAAACAATTAAATATTAAATATTAAATAATTAAATATTCATTATTACATAAAAGGTATGATGTCACGGGGTGCCTGGGTGGCTCAGTCAGTTAAGCGACCAACTCCTGGTTTCAGCTCAGGTCATGATCTCAGGGTTGTGGGACTGAGCCCTGAGTCAGGCTCCTCACTCAGTGCAGAGTCTGCTTGGGATTCTCTCTCTCCCTCTCCCTCTGCCTCTCTCCCTGTCGCATGCACACGCTCTCTCTCTCTCTCAAATAAATAAATTAATCTTAAAAAAATGGAATCATCTTCAACTGTAATTTAGTGATCATAAAATTCCAAGATGAAAAATCAAAGGCTCCCTTGTTAAGTATGATTATAGATAGGATATGATTTTACTGTTATTAAGAAAAATCAAAATTATCTAGTCCACCTACCACATGGTATCATGTATAAAGTTCTTTTCTGACTTCATTTTTGTTTGCTATCATCAAGCATGGGATTTAGTGACAAATAAAAGGCATAAAGAGTGAAATACTAATCCCCTGCATCATCTCTGGTGCTTTACATGCAGGGAAAAGAGATTCCCCACATCCTATACACCTGATAGATCTGATTATGGTATAAAGGATCAAAATGTCATATGGGAAGACCAAACACCTGTTTTCAACTATAACTGCCAACATAGGCCCAATCTTAGTTACTGGCTGTCCAAGATAAAAGGTCCTACCACAACTTACCTTTTCTGCCAGTTAAATTATTTTAATGTTAAAAAAAATTACATGTTAGATATAAAATCTGTTAATAGGAAATGTAGAAAAAGAAAAGGTCAGAATTGAGGGAATTAAAAAAAAAGCAATGTGGAGGAAAGAGAACAGAAGGATGCTGAACAGAATGAACAATTAGAATTCCTCTGTCATTATCACAGGCAATTGGAAATTAAACTAAGTGTATAACGTGGCTAATGAAGTATATCTTCTGGTGGCAAAACAGGCAATTTCCGCTCGTTATCACATTAAAACAAAAAAGGAAATAGGGAAAAGTAAATCTAATTAAAAGATCCAGAGAGACCAGATTATAGGATTATGTTTATAAAAGCCTGCATTGAGAAAAGAGATTACTGCCAAACAGTTACTGACCCAATGGCCAACTAGAGAAAAATGTATCCCCAATAACAAAATTCTGTTCCTCTAAAACTTCAAGTTCCTTCTCTTCTACCTTTCCACTTTTATCTCCTAATCCTCACAGGTTGTTATGATTTCAGAAACATACGAAGGTGGGCCCATAGGGGCTGCTTAGTGTTCTCCTGGTCTCACCCTAATGGAAACTTAAAATAAGCTAGTCACACTGAATCTCAAGTAGAGAAAAAAGACTGACTTCAAGACAGCAACTGGGTGGTTAGGGTATATAGGCAACTCACCTGTCAGTGTTTATGCTCTGTTTCTTTGGAATTTTGTATTATGTACATAGCACACATATGGTCTATTTCTAAAAATAAACTCTAAAAATACTAGATTGAAACTTAAGATTTACTTCCTCTTTCTATTAAGACTTCTCCCAACAATAATTCAATATCACAAAGAACAAATCTAACCTCTGCAGTAACTGCCTTGATATACGTGTGTATTAAAACAAAGGTTATGTCTCTTTCACTTGAACCATCACTTTGAATTTGAACTAAGACTCACATGCATAACATTTCTCCCCTAGAAAACTAGCATTTCTCTTAGGAAACACTGCCAGAAAGAGAACAAGAACCTTTAACTACAATCTCAAAAAAAAAAGCTACAGTTCTCAATAGTCTTTTTTTTTTTTTTTTAAGATTTTATTTTTAAGTAATCTCTACACCCAACGTGGGGCTCGAACTCACAACCCTGAGATCCAGTGTAGCATGTTCCACCAACTGAGCCAGTCAGGCACCCCAGAAAGGAGTTTCTAAAGAAGTTTTGCTTAAAAATGGATTTATGAACTGAGGGTTCTAGAGGGGAGGGGAGTGGGAGGATGGGTTAGCCTGGTGATGGGTATTAAAGAGGGCATGTTCTGAATGGAGCACTGGGTGTTATACAGAAACAATGAATCATGGAACACTACATCAAAAACTAATGATGTAATGTATGGTGATTAACATAACAATAAAAAATTTTTTAAAAATGGATTTATGAATAGGGTTTCTTAAATGAGTTTTCTCAATCATTAGTTGATTTATAAAAAGTTGGCATCTAGGTTACAAAGGAAAACACATATACCGTAAAAAAAAAAAAAGTTTTTTTTATTCATCTTGCCTCCCCATTATGGTGTTTCTTGGGGAGACTGCAACTAAACATTCCTCCTCCCTACCTCACCACTGTAGACCTAATATGTATACTTTATACAGATATTAGACACAAACATCTATACACATACTTATGTACAAAAGCATACATATATAGATGCATATAAAATCATGATCCCGGGGCACCTGGGCAGCTCAGTTGTTAAGCGTCTGTCTTCAGCTCAGGTCATGGTCCCAGGGTCCTGGGATCTAGCCCTGCATCAGGCTCCCTGCTCAGCGGGAAGCCTGCTTCT